ATTTTGAGCCCCCTTATGTGTAACACAAATGGTGCATCTGTTTATAGGTTTAGGCAATCAGGGAATCCTAATTACTATATTTGGAATGCTTCAAATTGTTAAATGACCATTTTATGAAAATTTCCACCAGAAATCACTGCAGTACAACTATGCTGTAGACTTGAAGCTGTTCTGCAGCTGCGTGTTTTAGACTAAGTGGAAAGCTACATTGGTTGTGTGCCAATGGAATTAAGAAGCCAAAGCAATTGTGGTAATTCCGCGTCCATCTTGACAGTCTACTCACTGTTGTAATTTTTGCATCAATTCGTGTTGCCTTAAGTCTTGCATACTCGGTATCGTGATCATACCATTCCTGTGCGTGAAATCTAATTAGTACTGGTGAGTAGTAAGGAACGCTTGATAGTTACAAACTTCCTTGCACGAGATTTCACATATACTAGATACCAGTGATTAACGCCAGGCCAGTTCAAACGTGCTGTAATCGTTAGGCCGGTCACCTGCTTCGACTTCAGCGTGCGTGTTGAACCAGCATAAGAGCATCATTAAATGTTGGTCATTCCTTGTTGGGCTGCTCCTTGTCCGATTGTAATTTGTCTTCAGCAGGCGTGTGTTTGGCGTGACGATGAGGTTTAGTTAACCAAGAATGAAAGCTGAAGGTAAAGGAGGCAGAATGTGTTTGAAGTTGACTTTTAGATGAAAACTGATCGAACAGGAAAGTATGAAATCATCACCTGATTTCGACAAGCTCTCTTCTGTTCACTTGTTTATAAACATCGCATATTTGCACCTACGCATAAATTCTGCATAAGGCGTAAATGCGTTTCTTTCCTTTTGATCATTCATTAACTGGAAAACGCTGCCGTACATATTAACGTGTCAGCCGACTACGTTTACGTCAGCACCGTCCCTGTTGCCTTTCTACTCTGCCACAGATATGCTAAATTCCCTTTTTTAACTAAGCCAATTAATAAGACCTTTCATGTTGCCTAACATCATGGCATGCTCGTGAATTGAAAGGCAACGGAAGGGCTGTGGAACGTGACAGTGAGGTCATATTTGGATGGATGATGCATCAGAACCTCTCAGCTAAATTGCAGAACAGTTGCCATAGTGTTTAGTGCTAGGTTCCTTGTCTTTTGGTGTAACACTGTTAATCGATTCAGTTCAGTTGATTGGCCAGTTGTGAATGTCGTTGAGTATCATTCAGTGCTCCGTAGCGTTGAATGCTTTCGCAGTCCATCCACATTCAAATGGCCAACGTGTGTCTGTCAAGATCGTGCTTCAAGTGTTACCTCGGAAGCTAATTCCTCCTTACTGACTTCATCATTTGAAAGAATTTGTCGTACTATTAATCCACTAATATCAATTGCAAGTGACAATGCTACGTATGAAGCCTGGTAAGAGTTAATCAGTGTTTCTCTGACGTGCAAGCTGATAGGCCACAGTTAGAGTAACTCATTCCTACCTTACACTTTTCCCTGGCACCGTGTACATTGGCTTCAGACGACGTTAAGTGGTCCAGTGATCGTAATGTACCTGGCCATTACATTTTCACTTTTTCAGGGGTTTATTTTTCTTTCGAAGCCAGTTTAATCTGTCCTCGTAGAAGTCAGGCGTACGACCGGAAGGAGGTCAAAATTACGGCTTCCATATTTTTATGACTTCTTTCAGTGCTGTTTGCTTGGCAACGGCATTTTCTCTATGGACGATGAGCATGCTTAGACCAGGTGTTTTTGATTTGGGCACCACAAATGCAAGAAAGTGAGGGCGTTCGAGAAAAGACTTTATAATCCGGCACTTGATTTTCGGCTGCAGGCAGAGAAAAACTGATGCAGAAACCGTTTTCAGAGGATTAAGGTGTTATTTATGTAAAGCACACAAAACCACTTCAAGGCCCTACAAATTTGCTGCGATAACGGGGCGCAAATTAACAGTCGCTTTGCTGTGACGTTCGCTTTGATATCTTTGAGCAATTAAGACTTATCGGCGAGTTGGTTCAACTAGATTGGCATGGTGTCTGGTAAAACACATTAGTATTATATCATCTGGCGTCTTACTTTGCTTTGGATTTCAAATTTTTATTAAACCCTTCCTCCTAATAATAAAGCAGTAGGTAGTTCTTGTTTTATTTCAGGAAGCATGTTTCATTTGCAACGGATTCAACGACGTCTCCTAGCTGCACTTTTTATTGTGACGATCGCAATTACTCTGTATTTTTACACAAGTTGCCCTCAAGAAATGTTTGTATTGACAGCCACCAATATTAAACTAAGCAACACAAGTTACTTTGCTGCCATCACTTCTCCATCCCACCCGTACTGCCGACAATTCCGACAGCAATTTCCGATGGTCTCAAACGCCGATGCTGACATGGATATAGCCTTTACACTAGTGGTTCACAAAGATATTCGCCAGATTGCTCGACTCCTTCGGATGATTTACAGAAACAATAACTACTACTGCATTCATGTAGATAGACGTTCCAGCAGCATATTCGTTGAGGCTCTGCAAGGAATTGCAAACTGTTTTGGTGCAAACGTGGAATTAGTTCCACACGATGAGCGCGTGGCTGTAAACTGGGGTGACGAAACGGTTCTGCTTCCGCAAATTACATGTGGGAAAAAGGCGTTGAAAAATCACGCTACATGGAAGTACTTGGTCAATTTGGTTGGACAGGATTTCCCACTACGAACAAACATGGAGCTGGTAGCTGCACTGAAAGCACTCAACGGATCCAATCTCGTAGAGTCGTACCCACTTTCACAATTTAAGTCAAGGGTGAAGGACCATGTGCTGCCGCTTGGGGTAAGAAACAAATTTATGCATTTTTGCTAGCATTGCCTCATTCAGTAGCTCTTAATGTAACTTAGGGAATAATAAGGGTAACGCTGTGCTGAGTAAACTACTAATTTCACTTTCGCTGGACCATACCTAGGTATAGTTTGATCAACCAAGTGTAAATTTGCACTTGACTTTATCAAATTTACATCAATGCGTTTCAGTCAACAAAAATGGATCTGAGGAGTTGAGTATGAGACAGCAGCGGTCTGCAAAGGTTTCAACTGAGTAAATTGATTCAAGTGCCATTTCAGGTTATGTATATATTGATGTCAGAAAACTATCTTCTTCGATAATCGACAATTTCGTTGTATTATCGAATTGCTGATCAATATCAATACATGTTTTATTAATAGGATCGACAAGGTTTGTGGTAAGTTTAACTCTTCATACACATTTTCTGGTTACAATAATAAGTTCAGCTCTTGAATGAGACTGCTCTTAGTCGGATTATAGTTAGAGTGAAATGATTTGTTCACATCCTATATAAAGTCTGTTTCTGCAGATATGGCTCAAAATAAATAACGTTACAGACTGAACAAAGTCTTAGATGCGATTTGGTTGAAATTAATCAAATTAATCAGATACCGAATTGAGAAGCATCCTTGGAGATTCGGCAAAACTGTGGTGGCTGTAAGTGCGAGGTTTAAAAGTGGTTCTGTACCCCAAACACGTCACGTACGAGCCTTGTAAGCATGCAAACTTTGGCCTTGAGACTACAGTGTGAATCGTGCTTCACGTATTCACTCCTAATGTGCGTTTTGGAAAAAAAGTTTTTGGTTTTTCACATTAGTCTTGGCACTATATGTACCGCCCTAATAATCAGAAAGTAGACATCTGAAACAAGAACGTCCACAGAACGAACTAAACTAGTGAGTGTTTGAGAAAAAAGCACCATTGAAGGGAAGTTGGAAGATATTTAAGGAACGCAGATATGAAGGCTCTAAAATAGGTGCCACGTGCAAAGAGAGAAGACAGAAGCTATGATGGTGCGTTTGCTAAAAGTGACTCTCTGGCTTCGCGCTATTTAGCTATTGCATAAATGGCCGTTACGTAAACACATTCGATGGGTTCAAAAGCGTCAGAGAATCTTGTTAAGACACTCACTGTTTACGAGACACCATTGTTTGGATATGCGTCCAAGTTGATTTCAGTTGTAAACACAGAACCACCACCACTAGATATTATGAAAGTGTTTTTGGTCTAAGGAAAACTTTGATACGTAATCGACAATGTGATCGAATCGCTAAACATAGAGTTGAGGAAGTAAATATGGAGTTGACAGCATACCAGAATACTCGAAAATGAGGCAAAACCGTAAAAGCGTACATGAGACCCCAACCTTACTCATCTGCTGTATGTCCATTCGATAAACGTCATCGTTTAAACAACAGTTGCTAAATGTTCTGTCTCCGGCTCTGTGTTCACTAATTTGATGCATATGAAAATTGACGATACTAACGCGATATGAAGTACTCGCCTGCAGTTTTGATGCTTGTCGAATAAGGTAGAGTTTCATAGGAGTTTGTAAGGAAGCTGCAGACGTACTAGAGAATATCCGAGCCCTAGTTTGAAGAAGACTGGTACAACAGAAGGGCTGTATTGACCAATCACAAACTATAACCACACGTCAGGCGTCGTCCATCCGAGTCCACCACACTGGCTACGCCGCTCATTGTATAATGCTCCTCATTAGTGTCTCTCTCTGGTTGGCTGCAAATCTTCCTCGCATGCCATTGGAACCCAAAGAGACAGAGGATTGGCAGAGGCCAGCGTGGTCCAATATATCTACGCCATTTTACTTCGCTACAGTACTCGATCAAACATACTGTTTCTCCTTCGGACACCTATTCCTGATTAAGAAATATCCTTATAGGTAGTCCGTAGACAACGGAGGAAATTGACTCATCACCAGCGTGTCCATTCTCAAAACGCAGTTTCACAAACCACACTGTGGGTCATTTTTGAGTTGATACTGCAGGGAATTATAGTTCTCTGTTGGTTAAAAGAAATGATTCTGGTTTGGTGTCACTGAAGGTTGAGTTCATTCATCTGCTGTCGGTTCTCAAATACAGCCGAGCATGCTATAAAGACTAGGTTAATGACTTTATCCCTAAATTCAAATGCCATCCAATTCTCAGGACCTCCACCAAGCTCTGATGTCTCTCTCAATTTAATTTTTGCAGGCTTGTCTACAAAAGTCTAATAGGTGACATTCCCAGCGAAATTTAACCAGACTGTTGGTAAATTTATTTGCGACAAAATATCACGTTTCTGCATGACTCAAAAGCATGAATTAAGACCTCTGGCTGACTAACACTAAATTTACCCCATGATCTATATCTCCGAATATCATTTAGCCCTTCACATACTGAGGAAACTTTAGGCAATGAAGAATCATCACCTAAATGAACCTTTTAAAGTCTGCTCGAATAGGAACTTTCAATGATACCAATTTAAAGATTCAGAAATTTTCATTGCTTGGTAATTCTTGTGAATTTTGTATTTTTTGAGTACATTTTCGCAAGTAATAGATCCTGGTTTGATCTTAGGCCACTTGGTACAAAGGTTCGATCTATGGTGCCTACCGAAGGGAATTCCTGCAGGAGGCTCTCATGGGAACAGCTGTTGGCGCTATCCGTGACATCATGCTCCAGCCAGGGAATATCATGCATCCAGACGAATTTTTCTTCTCCACACTCGCCTACAACAGCCAGTTTCGCCTGCCTGGAGCTTGTTTGCATGGCCCTGCACCCTTACCAGAGGTGAACATCGGCTATCTTGGCAGATTTGTCATTTGGGGTGACTACGGCCTTAGGTGTCGGACGAAGTACGTTCGCTTCATTTGTATCTTTGGAAATCCGCATGTTGCAATGCTGCAGAGTGTGCCACACATTGCCGCGAACAAATTCCACGAGGATTACCAACCAGAGGCTTACGATGAGATGGAGAAGTGGTATTTTCGGCGAATCGCATTTGAAATCTCCACTGGATCCTACAATAAGAGCTCCTTCGATCCAAGCACATATGCAAACCTCTCTTGTTCGCGCAATCATTTGTAGTGTTTTTTATACTAAAAATGTCCTGTGCATTTTGTATGATGAGGGCGTCGCTACAAGCCAAATTAGTTGAGAAAATTAGTAAAAGAGATGAATAAGGCAGATGGCTGCCAGTTAATTAGTGAATTTTGTTTAGATCAGCTTATTCTGACTGAATGGCTGGTGTAGCACGCGACTGTGGCCGACTGCTTGAGGCCTTTTTTATGACATAAATGTCGCTTTCGTGCTGTTTTATTTTTTGTCCAGATAACGTAATTAGACAGTCAAATTATCTTTAATTTATGGATTTCAACTGGATAAATTATATTTAGTATTGCAAACTTGAGGCCCAAATGTAAGCTTTCGGCTTCCGTGAAGTGTCTGTTAAAGTTTCCGATCGGATTGAAGCAAACAATTGGTGACTATCGACAGGATAAATCTTGCTAGGATAATGAGACTACAAATTTGAGAATGACTATAAACAACATTTCAACTCATAGAATTATTGACAGTTAGCAGAAAATTTGGAAAGAAAAATCCCACAGTACATGGTGCATCGTTGATTTTTAAATAAAAATAGTCGTGAGTGTTATCTGGGGGACTTAATTAGCTAAAACCGTGCTTTCTTACGCTTGTGAATTTTTAGTAAATTGACATCTCCGTGTGATAGATGCGTGGCAAAAACGTTAGTCACATTACTACTTGTCAGTAGATGGTAGTGAACTTAGCATATTAGAAGTTTTGGTGTTCAGGGGCACTTTTGACTTCACCTGATATCATCAAATTTCACCTTTTGTATTGCGGTTTCTGTTACTTTTTGCTCGTAACCAGAACCTTGTCTAACATAAGACCTTAAGCTTCCCAGTGCTGGACATTGAAAGACATCGTTCAGGGAGCTTTTTTAGAATGTGCGGTTGCATGAGTCACCGGTAACCTTGACCTTGAATTAACACCGATGGGGTGGTCATGGGGGTGCCAATTCAGACTGCCCCACATTTTAGTGTGGTTAAGGGAGCTGTGTGAACAATTAAGAGGTCCTTATTGGTGGTGAACTGTTTGGAGGCATGCTGACTTCCCGTTGAGAATCCACGATACCCCAAGATTGCTCATTGTTGGTTTTTGGCACTGTTTACACTAATTCCCTAACATGTGTTTTATTACGCTTTTATCTGGTCAAGATCAATCTTGACTTGAATTAGTTTCACTTTCGACAACTCACTCCGCACGTTGCTGACGTGATTAAAGTTCTCTCCACGAGCTCTGGTCTTGTTCTTGAATTAGCGTGGGAAGGTCGGTGCTAACGTCAACAAGGGATCTGGCATCGTTATTTGAGTGGTTTTTCTTTGTTACGGGCAAACGCAACACTTCCTGTTTCAAGAATCGGAATAATTTCGTGTCATGCAGATTACAAACTTCCTGTGAACGAGTAGAACTAACGTAAGTTAAAAAATCTTATCAGCCTGAAAAAAGCGCCTCTGTACGTGTACACAGTAAAGAGGTTCTAAATCCATTTCTCCAAACTTTCGAGAATTTGGTGGTAACGAAGCCTTCGCAATTACCGTTTTGGCTGACACAGAAAGTTAACATTGTCTTGGACTAAAAGATGTAATTTTAGATGATTGCAAGGCCACAGACTGATTTTATGTCTGTTTGTACAGAGCCTACCGTGAAGTGGCAACATTGTAAAATTTGTGTACGGCAACGAATTAACGTGAGTAGCATCCACTGGAAACGATTATTGAGTATAAGATATTTGAAGCAAAAAATCGTGACAAATGAATGCTATCTTTGGGTTGATAGTTTACAGGTGATTATTAATTAAACAAGCAAGATCTGTTAAAATTTTGCAGGTGTTTTAAACGAATTTACTTCAGTTACATCTGGGTGAATGCGAATTGAACAAATGTTAGCTTGAAAAACCAGAATAAATCGATGGTGCTCAAGCTAAGATAAAAGGAGTTCTTAAAGTAAAATTCTCATGTGATTTTCTAATGCCACTCATTCAACTTCTCGCAGGTCTATGAATGGCACTTGATGGCAAGTATAAATGGAAGGATCTACGGCAATGTTAAATGATCATTCTACGGATGTACTGAGCTGAATACCTCATGTTAAAGCCAAAATAATGAGAAACGTTTTCCGAATATTTAATTAGCGTCACTAAAGCATATGTTGCGCAAGTAAGACAATCTCCAGGTAGTCCATCTTGCCCAATATTTCCAGGGTTGAAGTTAACTTGTTAGATGGCTGGACTGGCGGGCTGATCGAAAGCCAATCAGCTTTTGGCTTTTCAGGTCTTTCATTCAATCAGATTGTTTTTAAACAACGTACAACTTTTTCGCAAACCGCTTCAACAGCTGTTCTTTCGAGCATTGCAATTCTAGCTCTCCAAATTAACGCTAACATTTTCTCTGCACCAATAAATGCCCAACGCATGAGGTCACACTTTCCTTTGATGTCTTGTTGACATAGGCAGCCAATATGGATTTAAAGTACAGTGATAAAAAATACCTTTGATGTTTGATCGTGCAGCCGACCTATCGTTGCAATTTGTAACAAATGTGAAGGTGAGATTTCTAATGCCTTTCTTTTAGAAATAGCGGTATAAAATCAGGAAAAAAAGATGCAGATGAAGGTAGAATGTCTATCCACTTCATGTCACTGTTTAAACGCTAGCTGTGATTAAACAATGTGCAGCCTTATATAAATGCCTTATAAATGTCATTTCTGAAAGATATGCGCATTGCAAAATGAACGAGGCTCTGAAAATTACAAAAAAACTTTGATTGAACTGATATGAATTAGGTGGATAAAATAATGCATTGACAAGTTGCTATACACGGCGATATTCTAACAGTCGATGTTTGAGTTTAATGACTGTAAAACACACACTCACTGTAATCACACACAAATACACACTGTAGGAGATTCACCAACCACCGGACATTATATTTCCCATTGCTATTCACGCTTATGCAAGCCATCATTTCTTTTCATACCAGCTGCCACCCACCTGCCTACTGCCTCATTCATCTCTGAGTCTGGTGGTTCGCTTGCTT